GACTCGGGAAACAAGAGTTATCTATTGCTTCTGTTTATTTGAACACAAAATCGTGTAATTCTAATATACCACTTTGTGTCAACAGCATCAACCTCAACATCCCCACAGGTTCRCTAGTAGCAGTTGTAGGACAAGTCGGTTGTGGAAAATCTACTCTTTTGTCAGCTTTACTGGGTGAGACAGAGAAGTTGAGCGGGGAGGTTTACGTACAGGTAAACAATCATCATTTTTAACTTACAAAAAAGTATGTACTTACCATTTCTTAGTACATTGAAAAAATTTTAAATTGAAATAGTCATAGAGGTTTTCTCACGGCGAAAGACGATTTCAAAGAGAAAATACAAATAACTTTGATTCAACCACGAGTCAAACTCAGCTAGTCCATGTATAAAAAACTTCTCAAAACACGCGCGTAGCCAAACTGCGCGCGCATGSAACTGGCGGCAAAAATGGGCAACCGCTGCCTCTTGTGCACAAAATAATTACTTTCCTTTTTTTGTTTCCCGGTTTGTTTTTTTTTTTTTTCACAGGGTTCAGTTGCCTACGTGCCTCAGCAAGCTTGGATCCAAAACGCAACTTTACGTGATAACATACTCTTTGGACGAAACTTTGAATCAAAGCGTTATCACAAAACTGTCAAGGCTAGTGCCCTTGAGACTGACTTTGATATCCTGCCCGGAGGAGATATGACTGAAATAGGGGAAAGGGTAAGAGACTAACTGAATGGCAGGGACTTCTAGTCTACTAACTGTTCAAATCTAAGGCTCATTTCTTGATRCATTTTCGCYCTAGGGAATCAATCTTAGCGGTGGTCAGAAACAGCGTGTTAACTTAGCAAGAGCTGTGTATTTTAATGCTGATGTGTATTTACTGGATGATCCATTGAGTGCTGTCGACTCACATGTTGGTAAACATATCTTTGATAAAGTCATTGGTCCAAGAGGAAAGCTACGGCATAAGGTTATAATCTCAATWTTAACGAATAGCTCTCCTTAACRCTACTTCCAAATTTCTGRGCGAAACATGATCCTACCTGGCACAGTTCCGCGTCTTGTAGCTACGTTTCGCACTAGGTTTCCCGATTTCCCAGATAGAGCTGATATGTCAACGTTGAAGGAGTAGTCCACTTGTGATGTTTTAGTAGTAAGACCACGCACAAAAGAATTGAGAACGCGTCTCGGGGTGCAATTGTTCACCCTTCTGCTTCCCTTGAGCCTCGCATTCATCTTTCTTTTTGTGGTTTATAGTCAACCAGAATATCGAAATTGGTCTATTATTTTTCTTTTTAGACTCGTGTCTTGGTGACTCACGCTGTAAGTTTTCTTCCACAAGTTGACCAGATTGTGGTCCTCCAAAACGGCCGGATTTCTGAGGTAATTGATTACAGGCAGCTTCACAGTTTTTGAATATATAACCGCCCTGAAATCCCGCCATACACACAAAAAATGTTGAAACGTCAGGGTTATTATTATCATTCTAGATCGGTACTTATGAAGAACTCCWAGCTAATGAAGGCGCGTTTGCTGAGTTTCTGAAGACATTTGCCGCTGAGGAAAAAGATGATGTGACCGACGGTAAGTATAAAAACGGATATTGTTTGATGGTACAGATGACGATTCTGATGATTATTTTCAGTTAACCAAACAATTCAGGAACTTCCCGAGGAAGAGGAGAGAGAAGAAAATGAGGAAAACGAAGGCGAGGTTGACATTCTTGTTCAACTCCGTCAGCGAACAAGTTCGGAAGACGAGATGGATGCACCTTTTGAACCTCCTACCATCATGCCTCATCGACCTGTGCTGCAAAGACGGAGCAGTGTCATGACGATGGGAACMACTATCACTTGCGATACGGCCGACACTGATGGAATGACTATCGTCGAGGAAGAAAGAGAGATAGACACCATGATATTTGAGGAGAGGGCAGAGAAGGGAAGTGTAAGTCGATCATTGGTGCACACGATAAATTAAAATCGCTATCCGACAAACAGCATTGCAGGAGAAATTGTTAAAAAACTGTTGCCAGACGATGATAAAGAAGAATATTTTTTTATTTTCAGGTGAAGTTTAGTGTATTTTGGACGTATGCTAAGTCAATAGGGGTTGTCATATCCTTTGTTTGGCTTTTCTTTATGGTCGCCTCTGAGGGATGTCTGGTAGGTTCACGAGTATGRCTTGCCATGTGGAGCTCAGACCCCGACACGTCAACTAGCACACGTGACCTTTACTTAGGAGTGTATGGTGCTCTTGGTTTTGGTCAAGCTATGTTGGTTCTTYTGTCAGCTATCTGTCTAGCATTTGGTTCTATCAGGGCRTCCASRTACCTCCATGACACGCTACTTATCAACATTCTTCATTCTCCTATGTCGTTTTTCGAGACAACGCCGATTGGTCGAGTGGTGAATAGGTTTTCAAAAGATCTCTATACCATCGATGATGCAGTGCCTCGTTCTTTGGGAGGATTTTTGAGGATGTTGCTTAGCGTGTCGGGGACCTTGTTTGCAATCAGTTATGCCACGCCACTTTTTTTGGCAGTGATTGTACCTTTGGCTGTGTTATATGTTTTCATTCAGGTATGTTTGGTTTTTCATCCACAATCAGTATTTTGATCACCATCATCATCATCATCATCAATTCAATGTTCTTACGTATCCATGCATTGTTTCCAGCGTTGGTTTGTAGCATCGTCACGTCAGCTGAGACGGATTGAGTCAGTAAGTCGTTCCCCTGTTTATAACTATTTCTATGAGTCAGTTAACGGGACATCAACGATCCGGGCCTATCATCAACAACTGCGATTCACTCGAGGAAGCTTCTACAAAGTGGACGAGAATCAGTTGGCATTTTACCCAATGATCTGTGCGAACAGGTAGGCCTAGATAATAAATAGAACTTTAAGTAATTTGTCTAGTGTAAGTTAACT